TCCAGGAGGAATTCCAAAATGTCCTTCATTTTGAGCATGACTAAGAAGGCCATTGAGTAACACCATGTTTGCTTTTTCTCTTTGAGAAAGGTGTCTACCTGAGAACCTCTCCTTACTGCAAATCGGGGGACAGGATGGACCTTCTAAAGGTCTTTTTTCCTAGGAGCAGCAGCAGTGAAGACTTGTACCCAGGACCTTTGAACTAGAGGCTATGCATAGAATCACAGATGCACAAAATTGGGAGAGACCCTAAAGATCATCCAGTCCAGCCCCCGACAGAAAAGCACCCCTGAAAGATGGCCATCCAGCCTGTCTTTAAAAACCTCGAAAGAAGAAGACCCTGCCACACTCAGAGGCAGCATCTTGCACTGTCAAACAGCTCTTATTGTCATGAAGTTCTTCCTAATGTTGAGGTGGAATCTCTTTTCCTGTAGTTTGAACACATTGCTCCGGATCCTAGTCTCTACAGCAGCAGCAAAAAAGCTTGCTTCATCCTCAATATGACATTCCTTCAAATCTGTAAACATGGCTATCATGTCACCTCTTAACAGAAAATTTAATTTCACCCTGAAATAGTACTTGGCCTAACCAAATAACTTGAAACTGGCTCTCTGGAACTAGAGAGGACTTTTGTACCTTAATGGTTGGATAGAAGAGAGCGTTTCAGCAGGTGTTTCTGTTACCTGGTTGCACGACAAGCAACACCTGCTGAAACCTCCTCTTCTCCATAACCATTAAACTAGTTTCCAGAGGCCTCTCCAGCTAGAATGGCAACCCTAGCTAAGGCTCTCAGCAATGCCAGCCAAGTAACAAAAGGCACAATGCTTAACAATAACAATAACAATACTTGTTTCTTACCTACCTCTCCCTATGGATGGAGGCAGGGAACAAGGATACAACTCCAGAGAACAGGACATGGAGCAATGGATGCAAATTACAGGAAATAATAATAAAAAATAATAATAAAATTTATTTATACTCCGCCCCTCTGAGAACAATCGGGGCGGCTAACAACATATTAAAATTCCAATACAGTCAATATAATCAAGTATTTACATCTCACGCTTCAGCTAAAGAAGTCCTTCAAGTTGTCCAGTTTGGGGGTTCCTTGCCTGAGGCTTACAATCTAATGGGGAAGGGGGACCACCATCTCTTCCTTCAATCCATGGCTGGATCTTTCTCGTCTTTCTCGTCTTCCTCCTCCTTCTCGTCTCCCTCCTCTGTCTCCATCTTAACATTAGGAGGAACTTCCTGGCAGTAAGGGCTGTTTGGCAGTGGAACACACTTCCTTGGAGAGCAATGGAGTCTCCTTCTTTGGAAGTCTTTAAACAGAGGCTGGATGGCCATCTTTTGGGGGTGCTTTGATTGTGAGTTCCTGCATGTCAGGGAGTTGGACTGGATGGCCCTTGGGATCTCTTCCAACTCTAGGATTCTACGTATGGCTTCTGCACAACAGTCTGCCTAGTTTTGTCTGACTGAAATACACATTTCCCAGAGGACCAGAGTGTACAAGGTGGATTATGTAGTAGGTGGCAATCCCATAGGAAACCACATGATAGGGCCACATTAAGTCAGATTTGACTTGGAGGCACATAAGAACAAACAACAATTAAGGAGAGACATTCTGCAAAAACTTCTTAGTTTTACTCACTTGGGGAGTAATTTGAAAGGATAAGAGGTTAACTATGAGGAGGTTTTTATTTTTATTTTTACAGGTAGACAGAGGGGGGAGGAAATAAGAAAGGAAAAAGGTCAGCATTTGATTCACCCATATGTATGCTTGTCATTTCAGATGCAAAGCCTAAGATACCTGCTGCGAGTGCTCATTGCAAATGAGCCTTTTCCTCCAGATCTCTGCTTCCTTGACAGTTTTGCAAAGGAGTCTGTGTTTATGGATGGGAGAGGCACAGCAAAGCCATCAGGAATGCCTCCTCAAAGCAGGTGCTCAAGGCAGCTGCCTCTCCATCAACTAACACAACCATCACAATTGGGAGGCACACCAAGCCGGTCAGCATTCGAGACTTTAACAGAAGGGAGAGGCAGCATATACAAACAGTGACCATGGGGTATTTGTTCCATCAGCCTCTCACGACTCACGCTTTTGGGAAACCCAGGCTCAAGGCTGGGAAAGAATATTTAAATAGATAAGCGCAGTCTCTTGTTCCAGTTCACTAGAGCTTAGAAGAAGGGTTTTTTGGGTTTGTTTCTGTGGACGCAAACTTCATATCCTTGAACATTTTGCCTATGGAAACTGGGGCACAAGTGGCCAAGCAACATCAGAGTATGGTCAAGAGAGCAAACGTTATTAATGAGGAAGAACACATAAGCTAGGAGAGGTTGCAGCAGCTTGCTTTTGCCTGTGATTACTGGGAAAGACACGATTCTGCTTCCTCTTCTCCTCTTCCCCTTGCTCAGCTGAGTGCAAACACTTTTTGCACTTTGAAATCAGTTTGCAGATGTTGAAGAAAGGCGAGAACGAAAAAGGAGGAAAAGAGGGAAATTTAAAGGAAGGATTAATCAGAACCGTCCCTTCCAAACTGGACAGTTGGAAGAGTATGAAACTCCTGGCGGGGGATTCTGGGACCTGTAGTTCCCTAAAAACAGTGTTTTGGCGCTCTTTTAGGAACATAAGAAGCTACCTTCTCATGGATCCTAGGTTTCTGCTAGCCCAGTATAGGCTACTCTGAATGAAAACGGATCTCAAGGAATGACTGTTCACCTCCTGCCCTTACTTGTTCCTTTTAAATTGGAGATGCCAGAGACCAAACCTGGGACCTTGTGCATACAAAGAGTGTACTCCGTCACTGAATTATGGTCCATCTTCTTTTTCAGGGCTATATAAAATATTCACAGTCTCTTGGTTTTAAAATTTCAGAATCCCAAGGATAAGACATAAACCCCAACAGGGATTTGTTTTAAAACCCCAAGAGTAGATCGCTCGGAACAAAGGCTCAGAACTACCATTTGTATCGACATATGCCAAAAAATCTTGTGTGGCTCAAAAGATTTCATACACTTGCAATAGCAGGATGTGGTCCAATTTCTTTTCTTTTCTTTTCTTTTCTTTTCTTTTCTTTTCTTTTC